GGGGGGGGGGCATACAGATGTGCACCGCCCATACTGTGGCCTATCCCGACGATGGGGCGAGGCATCTCTTTGCGCTTGACGTTGATAAGGTGAAGGAGGTCTCTGGGGTGGTCGAACCAGCTGGCTATATGCACCTCGTCAGCATCAATTCGAGGAGTGATGAGCAATGAAGATCAATTCCATACGGTCGTTGCCCAGGAGATCCTCATTTACAACGCTGCTCTCGCCCTGGTGCGCGACATCCGCCATCCATATACTTCTGATTCGGAAGCCATTGGCTTTTGATCGAGCGTACAGTTCCTCCCATAGAGGTTCGTAAAGCTCCTAGTATATAGATTAGCTACGTTCATTCGAACTCAGTGATGTGATGCCCTCAAACCTTAGGAAACCCATTCGCATGCGCAGCAAGAATCGTTACATCCCCTGGCTGTGGGTTGGGATTATCGAGTGGGATATATTGTTTTACCACCAAATTCAATACATCTTCTTGGCCATTTGCCGTCGCCGCGGGATACTCCCTGATATGTTGGCATTCGACGATATGCTCAACGACCCGAAAAGGGCCAGAGGATTGTGAAGACAGCGACATTTCTTTTGCTAATTTTATCAATGGGTTTATGTGGTGTCGCACGATCCGAGGCGACTCTAGTATATATGGATTAAAGGCAAGGGGGGGCACTTATTCCCCGGACCGGAGGGTTCGAACTGCCGGGGCTGACGATGAGCCGAGGCTCATGATCAGGAGCGACCGGGGAAAAAATGGCCGATCGCTTGATGGATTGAAATGTCAGGCGGGGAATGTGAATGGTCGGCTGATACCGCTAGTCACAGTACAGGCAAACAGTTACGGCTCGGGCAATCGGGTCATGACATTGGGCCAGACTTGCCATTGATATTGTCAAAGTACACTGCTCTTAACATATCAACAGGCAAGATGGCCGAGTTGGTCCAAGGCGTCAGGTTAAGGTCCACCTTAATACCTAGCTTCACAGCTTCCTGATCATCGTAAGATGGCGTGGGTTCGAATCCCACTCTTGTCATATCTTTTTGTCTTTTTTGCTTATGGTATATATAACCCACACACCTTTAGATGTGCGGTGGTATTCTTTGTTTTCAAGTGAGTTTCAGTTCGTCGGCTATCGCTACGTAAAACTTTGTAGATACGTCGATGCTTATAAAAAATCATGCCCGAAATACGGGTGGGGTGTAGCGAGTGTAACTCGCATCATAGAACCAGATATATATTTTGTGTCATACTCGTAGTTGCAGCTCTTCGGACATTGTCAAATACTATGTTGGCCTAAGATATTATCATAACACTGCTACTTATTCCATCAGGCGACGACAACATGAAGGTTAAAAACTACCACACGCCATAATGTGAGCACGCGTACTACTAACTCATCATACGGCCAATCTATATCCTATCGTTGATTCACTTGCTTCGTTCCGAAACATATGCCGCGGCCTACTCATCCGTCCGGTGGAAGTCCACAAGACTATAATATCGTAATTTCCCCACCAAAGCTGGAGCTTATTACGACAAAGTCCATTTTACACACCATACATACTGACTATGCCAAGTCGACGTGGATAAGACGTGCCTGACACCACATATTGACGATCTTCGACGTATCTTATCTACACGTGACCTGGTGTCGTGTCGGCGCGTCTGCGCGTCGCATCGCAAAGCCACAAGAGGCAAAAGACGACTGGTCTCTCAAGTCAAACGTATCTTTCACCCAATGCTACTACCTCCGCTCGAAGCGCACTACATACTGAACATACACCCGTGCTGACCGGAAAATATCCACATAATGGCTGAGCAGGGAGGAGAGCTTCAACTCTTCAGTCAGTGCAAAGTCTGTATCATATGCTCTAAAGATCTTAGTGCCGACACGGCACATCAGGTATGACAGACCCAGCACATGCTATATTGGGTATTTTACGCAGGCTGAAGGGAAGAACTATTGAATATAACAGCTCGCATCTACATTCGAAGAACATGGCGGTGAAACTGTGATCTATGAGCCGCCAGCTACCTTCCCTCCCCTCTCCGATTTCACCCACCTCATCTCCTGCACGATTGACTTTCCTGCCTTCGACGCGGCGGGGGACGCCCTGATACCAGTCGTCAAACCTCACTGGGTACATGCGTGCCTAGCAAAGAGAAAGCTAGCAAATCCGCGCCAATATAGTCCTGACCCGCGGCTCTTCTTGAACGATGTGGTGATCACATGCGGTGATATACCAGGAGGCGATAAGGAGGCTATCATCGGTGGCGTGCTGGCGAAAGGTGGGATCTACAGTCCGAAGGTCTCTCAGCAGGTCACGCATTTGGTTGATTTGACCGCGGAGTCCGATAAGGCTCGATTAATCGCCGCAAAGAAGTTGAATATCAAGATAGTGCTTCCACACTGGTAAGACGGTAGTGACCGAAGAGACTGGACCAATCTAACAATGGTTTCCATACATAGGTTTGACGACTGCCTAAAGCTTGGCCGAAGAATCGACGAGCGTCCATATACCCTTCCCGACCCCGAAATCCTCCGTGCAGCGCCAGATGCACCCATCCGTTCCTCAGAAAACCGTGACATCATCGGCGCATCCACAACGAACCCAGCCAACCTTCCCTCGTCTGTCAAATCGCCTGACGCGCAGCCGGCGCTTACCGTATTTCAAGACAAGAATGTCATGCTCTCCACAGACCTCGGTATTGGACCTCGTCTTCTCGGGTCCATCGAGGGTATCATCAAGAACGGCGGCGGCTCTATCACGACGGATGTCTCAAAGGCTGATATCTTGATCTGTCGCTATAGAGAGGGTTTCGCATACCGTATGGCATCGAGGCTGAACAAGGACGTTGGAAATCTATCATGGCTTTACCACCTGATGACCTACAACACCTGGACATCTCCTCTACGGCGATTGCTACACTATCCTGTCTCGCGGTCTGGAATCCCAGGGTTTAAGGGATTCAAGATCAGTCTGTCCAACTATGTTGGAGAAGCAAGAGCATATTTGGAGAATCTGATCACCGCAACAGGCGCAGAATGCACAAAGACGCTAAAGCAAGAAAATACCCATCTTGTGACTGCTCATGGTAATAGTGAGAAATGCGCCGCGGCAAAGGAGTGGGGATTGCAGGTTGTCAATCACTTATGGTTGGAGGAGAGTTACGCAAGATGGAAGTTGCAACCCGTTTCTGATCCGCGCTATACTCACTTCCCTAAGAGAACGAACCTAGGCGAAGTTGTTGGCCAGACCAGGCTCGACAGAACGGTCCTTGAAAGCATATTCTTCCAAAGTGAAGGCTTATCCCGAGAGCAGGTGAGTCCTCGACGGGCGATGCAAACCAAGGAACAGAATACCGTTGCTGCGAAGTCATCGGATACCATGCAACCACCATCAGCCAAAGTGACAGAATCCGAGAGCGAAGTACTGCCGCAGCCGCAAATCGCAACTCCGCGAGCGGTTGAAAGGTCGCGTAAGACAAGTACAACAGATAATCAGAAGTTACAAACACCGGCGCGTGCTCGGCTTACGTCGGAAGGCAAGGAGAATGATACTCCATCTACGACAAGTAGCCGGAAGTCGAAAGAGGCCGCTACCGCCCGACTGCACGAGATCGCCCCGGACATTGCCCTGTACGAAAAAGAAAAGAAGCGTGTTGGTGGCGTGATCTATGGTGGTCGACGAAAGACCGACGAGGATCGAGTCATACTCAACAATGGCAAGAAGCGGCGGTCCATGGAAGCGGAGGACAAGAGCGATGAAGAGGACAGCACGGAAGCAAAGAGGCAGAAGAAGGGCAAGCCCTCTGTCGCAATGCACCTTCTCATTACGGGTTATCAAAAATGGGTTGGGAACCCGAAGAAAGAAGATTCGGATAAGGTTTGTTCACCTCTTTGTACATGTCTATGATTGAGAGTGCCCCTCTGACTGTGAGCAGCGTCAGCTCCGTGAGCTTGGCATCTTGGTTGTCCAAGACGCCCGAAGATGCTCTCATCTTGCTGCTCCCTCTATTTTGCGAACTCCTAAGTTTGTCAACGCGCTTGCATACGGTCCAGCTATTGTGAGCATTGACTTCATCACGCAATGCCTCGAAAAAGACGAACTTCTGGACCCTGCTGATTTCCCTCTAAAAGATGACGCTTCCGAGAAGAAATATGGGTTCTCATTAGAAGAAGCAAAGATGAACGCCAAAAAGAACAAGAACAAGCTCCTGCGAGGGTATCAAATACACTGCGTCGAGACCATTCGCGGTGGTTTTGACGCATTCAAGTCCATCGTGGATGCTAATGGAGGAGAATGCTCTCTTTTCCGTGGTCGCGTTTCATATCGATCACAGCGCGAGGAGAGCGAGGAAGAGAGCTCGGGAGACGACGATCGCAGCCGAAAGGAGGTATATCTTCTGAGCAGTACTTCTGCAGACCACACCAAGCTGTGGCCGCGGTTCCGCCAGATGGTCCTAAACAGAGGCAAAACACCACGGATAGTCCGGGTAGATTGGCTTCTTGATATCGCCATGTCCCAAACGCTGCGCGCAGCAGATGCATATGAGCTAGACGAGGAGATGGCGGAAAAGATGGAGCAGTAGCCGGCTCATGAGCATGGTGTTAGAGGCGTGCTGTGATGAGGCATATTTGCTTGTTATGAACAGCGGGAAACTCGTATAGCTCTTTCGGGGACATTGTCTGGTTTTTGTATATCCCTTACTTTATCATGAAGATAGTTGCCGTATCCTCAGCGTTGCCAATGGACATTGCTTTCGAACGAACCCACGAGTCAACCGCATGCTGTAAATCGGCCAGATAACCTAGCCGATTCCTAGAAGAACTTGACACCCTCCTGGCCTTCGCTACCGAAGACCTGCGCCTTGCCCCGTTTCACGAGAACATTGAGGGACTTGTGCATCACATCGGGGTCCATCCCATGCCATTCTATTCCAGCCGAACCATTAGCCACCATACCATACCAGCATCACCCAATGATTAGGAGCAAATCCACTTAACCTACCTTGCGACATCGTGGCCTCCCCCTCCAACAACTCATAAACCGTAAGCACCACGTTCTTCTGGCCAGTGTTTTCCACCTATACAGCAAAAATAAGCAATTAGCAACTATCTCCCCTCAATCCCAACTCTACCCCCAACTCCCCTCCAACATCTCGAATGATGATCCGGAATATAAGAATACATACCCAATCCGCAATCAACCCTGCCCACTCCTCAGGCCTCTTCCACCAAATCCACGCAACACTCTTACTCCCACCATCAATCCACTCCGCTCTCTTCCCGCCACCACCCTCCTCTTCACTTTTCGCCATCCAGTCTAGAATATCCCGCGCATCGCTCATCGAGATGCGCTTTCGGAGCGTCGTGTTATGGAATAATGGTGACTCGATGGCTTCGATTAACGATAGTCGGTAGACGCGGTGGTGTCGGCACCAGGATTGGATCAGGGAAGACCATTTTTGGAGTTGGGAGGTGCGTGTCGTGCTGTTGGGTTGGGGGGTGAAGAAGGCTGGAAATGAGTAGGTGAGGGGGAATTGGAAGGGTGGGGTTGTTGTTGTTGTTGATGTTGTTGCGCTTGTCATTTTGGTGGTGGGGTGATTATGTCTGTGAGTAGACTGAATGTCGATGCGAGGTATATTGCGCTGCTGTGGAGTAGTCTCCAAGAGTGATGTGGTTGGGCTAATTGTCACGATGGTAAATGTAGTGATGATAGTGGTTGGTGGTAGTGATCGATAAGGACGTCAGTAGATACCGCCAGCCAACAACCTTAATGGAACTAACTTCTCCGCCTTAGAAATTTCCGCAACCTCCGCAGCACCGCACCGCGCACCCCCACCTTCTTACCAGGCTCTCCAATCTTTCCCACTTTTTCATCACGTTCAATTAAACCTCAGAATCACAATGTCTCAACCTCCTGCTAAGCGCCAAAAGCGCGCCGAGTATCGCAAACAAGCCGCCGAAGCGGTCGTTGCGCAACCGGACGAGTCCGCCCCCGTGGCCCATGTTAAGCTCCCTAAGAAGAAGTTCTATCGTCAGCGGGCGCATGCGAATCCGTTCTCGGACCACCAGTTGAACTAGTATGTTGCTATTCTATTCTTATTGTACATTGCAAATGAGGTCAATGGGTTGGTCGGGAAGTTGTCGGGCTAACCATTTTTTTTCTTCTATACAGTCCCCTCAGCCCGGCGCATATGGACTGGGCGTCGCATTTCCCTGCCTTCGTAAACCCCGATGCCACGCAGACGAACCTCATCGGGACGAGAAAGCTGCTTAAGGATGTGGAGGTTGTGGATATTGGATGTGGATTTGGTGGCTTGCTTGTTGGTCTGGCGGGGTTGTTGCCGGAGACATTGATGGTTGGTATGTATATCTCACATTGTCTACTTTCTCCTCTCACAGAGCCATGGATGTGGATGATCTAACTGAATATTAATTATAGGAATGGAAATCCGCATCGCCGTCCTCGAATACCTGAACACTCGTATCCAAGCGCTCCGCGTCCAACAACAGCAACAGCAACAGAAGACACAATCACAGTCCCAACCGACCTCTTCGACCTCCACCCCTGCCCCTACTACCCCAGCCGCCGCTGATACCCCCTCCGATGCCCCGGCGCCTCCTGACCCGAACGCCAGCGCGGCTCTCGTCCCCGGAGGATACCAAAACATCTCTGCGATCCGCAGCAACACGATGAAGTTCTTCCCGAACTTCTTCAACAAACACCAGCTGTCGAAGATCTTCATCTGTTTCCCGGACCCGCACTTCAAGGCGAGGAAGCACAAGGCGCGCATTATCTCCGAGACCTTGAATGCCGAGTATGCGTATGCGCTGCGCCCTGGCGGTCTTTTGTACACTATTACGGATGTGGAGGAGTATCATCATTGGATTCTGAGACATTTCCGGGATGAGAGTGCCGTTGAGGAGGCGGAGAATGAGGGACCGACTGTGAAGGAGTTGTTTGAGAGGGTGTCTGAGGAGGAGTTGGAGAAGGATGAGTGTGTTAAGGTTATGAAGGAGGCGACGGAGGAGGGAAAGAAGGTCACGAGGAATAAGGGAAATAAGTACGTTGCTGTGTTCAGGAGAAAGGAGGATCCGGAGTGGGCTTGATTTCTGTTTTATTCGTTTTGTATAGATCTATGGCGTAAAACATTTTGTTTCGAGATAAACAAAAGTTAATTCTGATATACATGGTTTGAATTGTTTTCTGTTATAATATGTACTAATATGGTCTTGTGGATCCATCATCTTTGTTATAAATCGCGATGTCTGGGATAGCACGTCGTAGATTGGCTGAGTTCGGCCCAGAGAAGATAATACTGCACTAGAGTAATCCTGGACGCCAATTGCTCCGAACATGGGAATAAGTACAGGGAAAGGACAAGCATTCAAAGATTCCTGTAAGACACCCAAAGCTTTCGAACGCTAACCTATAAAAGAGAAAATCAGGAACGTACTGTCATAGGCCCATAGTCATAAGATCATCATCGTCGTCGTTAGTGTTCTGTCTCCCCTCTATGCCTGTAATTAGAAACTACCCCATGCCCAGCATGGATCATCACGCCTGACCAATTGCAGCCGCGCGCCGACGAAACCAGACGTGTATCACAAGAAAGACAATCACTCCGAGAGCAAGCATTGCAGAAATCACCGAGAATCCCATGATATACTTCGGGCCGTCGGAGGAAGGGAACAAGTACTATTGTCAATTAGCTATAACCTTCAATAACAATACGCCAGGGCCAGACCCACCGAGCCATAGATCTGGGCTAGATTCCCCAAAGCATTTACCAGCGCAAGGCTGACGCCTCGTACTTGCGGGTGCATGTTCGCAAATGCAGATGACGCGTAGGCAAGTGTGCCTCCGTTGGTTGCCCACAATCCAGCAGCCATAAGAACGAGAAGGACATAGCGTGCAGTATAATTATATACAACACAGACTGCAATGGAACAAGCTAGCGACGCACTCAGCCAGCCAGCAATGACAAGGCCTCGCCATTGGGGGATTCTGTCGCTGAAGTATGCGGTGATCGCGGTGCAGACAAATGCGACTGCGTAGATCGGTACTGTCAGGAAATTTACCCTTTCAGTGGATGAATCTCCGAAAAGGCCCTCCACGAGTGTAGGGTAGAAGTATGAAAGTGTGCTAGAGCCGACAATTACCTGTTTGAAGTCAGAGTTGTGAGGTTATGCAAATGACCAACGGATTGCTATACCATATACCCGATCACAAAGCCCCAGGTTCGCCAATCCTTAGCCGACTCGACAACAGCGTGCCAATGTGACAACTCCGGGCTGTCTTCGGTCAAAGAAGTGACATTGTCTGTCGCCAACCGTGTAATAGCCACATATCGCTCTCTCTCTGATAGGCGCTTAGAGGTGGCCGGGAAGTCGGGCAAGATGAAGGCACAGATGATCGCGACACCCACAGTTGCAGATCCTTCAACGATGAAGAGCCATCTCCAACCCCTTATTCCATGCACTCCTTCTAGGCCTTGAATAATACCCGCTGCTAGCAAAGAACCAAACGCTCCAGAAAGGATTGCAGCAGATATGTAGACACCGAATCGCTTCGATTGCTCAGTTCGTTTGTACCAAGACGAGAGGACAAGGAGAACACCAGGTGCGAAGCCTGCTTCCACGCAGCCTACCAAAGTTAGGAACATACTATCCCCACAGATGAGTCAGTAAGAAGTCTCACCAATCAATGCACGCAACACCACAAGATGCTTGTAGTCCTTTATCACGCCCATCACACAGGTAAGTGCTCCCCATATAACCATAATTCCAGTTAAAAACAGCGAAGGGCGCGTGTGGCTTAGTACCAAACTATATAGTTCAGTAACGGTTAGTATCAACTTACGACCATCCTGAGTTATTGGAGCGGAACGTACTTGCTGGGAACTTCAAAGACGACATATCCGATGAAGAAGACAACCAGGGCAATTGAATATTGGCCCGATGTCAAATCAAGATCTGCCTGCATACCTGAGATTTTTGCGTTGCCGATACTGATATGGTGAGATTAGTTACGGATTTGTAGCGATGTATAGGAGGACTGGGGTACCAACTTGGTTCGATCCATGTAGGAGAGGAGATACATGATCCATATTGTTGGAAGTAAAGTCAAGTCCACCTTGCGCACGAGGGCTTTCTCTTCCTCGGGAGAGAAAGGTGAAGTAATGACATTCTCTATTTCCTCAGAGAGAGAGGCATCGCACTTGAGCTTGTAATTTGAATCGTCTGCCATAAGGGACTGATCTGAGCAATATTTTGAAGTGACCAATAGAGGTAAAGTGTCATTGAGATGAAGGAAGGTTGGGAATATTTAGTCTGAGAGGCCTGTCTACATGCCTATCGCCAGACCATCGACTCCTTGCAGGATATTTATGCTGCCCGCTTAGGGCACGATGCCTATGCCGGCATTGCGAATAGGGAAACGATGTGGTGCTCTAGCTGCCATCGTTCGACATGGATCAGACGTCATCCGAAGGACATTGCAGCAGCTGAATCTCCCGATCCCTGCGCAAGAGCCGTGTCAATCGATAGATGGTCGTACATCTGGCTTTAGTGCGATGACGGCAATGGAGGGCACGATCCCCGCAAAAGCTCGGGGAACCCCGCAAAGCTGGGGTTGACATCCAAGCTTCTCCGTCTTGCCGAACTGATTACACAGGTGCCTCGACTCGAGGCACTCGTATGACAATCGACACTTGCCAAAGCCAAGCTGCCTCGTTGCCCATCTAGGGAAGGGGAAGGTTAGTTCAAAGGAATCACACCCTCGCAGGGAAGTTGCCGCGAGACGAAGCGATGCCTCGAGCCGAGATGACAGGAGCGTGCCTTCCTTTTCCGGAATAGCCTTGAACCGGCTCTGGAATTATGCACGCATCTCACCCCAGGGGGTTCTTCGTTAGTTGTAGCTAGTGAGATGTTTTCCATGCAACAACCAGATGCCGTTGCGCTGCTGGCTTTAAAGTATTCAACACTTTATCTGAACCAAGAAAGAGTATGTCTCGTAAACTATTCACTATCATAATTCACCTAAGTATACGCTATCGTAGACTCCCGCTGGATGCTATGCAATTCATAGGTCGCAACAAATAGAAGGAAAAAGAAAAGATTGAGAGACATACACAGAAAACAATGGCCGTATAACGTCGGATGATGCACCTTGTTGAGCGCACTGCGCTCAGCACTATGTAGATGGCCACAATGATCATGTCATTGGCGCTGGCCATCGGTTGTTGGAGCCTCAGACCCCGGACTCCACCATCCAACAGATACCCCACATCATGGCGACGCTTTCAAGCGAATACCTTCACATCTTTCACAGACAGCCAATTGGACCGGCCCGCCGATGATGCGTCCCTTGGCTGTCCTTCTCGGTTCCCCTTCTCGGACGAAGTAACGACCGTCGGGACCAAATCCATCCCCGCACTCGTGGCAGACAAAGCATTCATCATGCCACTGCCCTCCGACCGCACTTATCACAACATCCTCTAACACTGGCTTCTTGCATCCAAGGCACCGAGGAGCTGTGCGACGGGAGTGGCACTGCAAGCACCATGCAAAGCCATCCTTTTCTACGAATGGTGTATCGGCGTTGAAAGGCTAGAGGAGATATGTTAGCAGTCATCGATTACAAAACGGAGGGGGAGACCGTACATCACCACACTCGGCACAGAAGAAGTGCCCGACATGCCACTCAGCTCCACAAGCAACGACCACTTCTCCCTCTATCGGGGTTTTGCAGCTCTTGCACCTTGGACTGAATAGCTCATGGAAATCAAGGTGGCAGTAGAACCTCAGTGCATGGGCCTCTTCATCATCACTGGAAGCTTGCGCGAGACGCTCTTGGCGCTTCACTTCAGGTTCCTCATAGAATGCAACACACTCCAGAGCAGTCTGGCAATGGTGGCACACGAAGCACTCAGGGTGGAATCGGGATCCCGCAGCGGTCACTATCTTCCCTGCAATTGGGAGAGAACATGCCTCACATGTTGCAGTGGGAACACCAGAGCGGCTATAGGTGGATAGCCACCGATTCTGCAACCCTGCTGTTGGCTTTCTTGGGGATCGCTTGGGAGCTTCGTTCTTTTTGGGCGGGCTCGACGATGACTTCGCACCGGTCGTTGTGCTCTGGGATGATCCTGCCATCTCAGAGATAGTGGGCTCTTTGTCGTCCGGCAAGTTGATCACCGGAATTGATGGTGCCTCGGATACCTCAATAGTCGGAGCAGCAGGCTCAGGAGAAGGCACGTCCGGCGTTGCATCCCTTTCCTTGAAGCTGTCTCGGTTGCGCGGACTTTGTGCCTCAGTTGGCTTCCAAGTCGGATCAAAACTCACAATCGGCCGACCAGCACGATCACTCACAGCGGTTGGCATAGGTAGGCGAGTGCTCCGATCTCTCAGTTTCTTGCTAGTGGCTGCTCGGATGTCATCGCTGCGGATTTCTAGGCCATTTTTCATAGGGGTATCTTGCTCCTCAACCTCAGAGCCTGCCGTAGGAGGTTGTGGAAGCGGATCGTTCATTCTATACTCTGGGTTTCTTGACTGGCTTGGGGGGTTCTTATGAAGTTCGAAGCGAGCCAGCTTGTCCACAAAAGGAAGGCTACTGAACCGACTAGGTAGGGGACGAGAACCGCGAGGAAGAGCGTTGCGTGGCTTATTCCTTAGAGCCGAAGAGTCCGACCTTGAGAATTCCGGTCGAGTGTCCTCATCCTTCTGAGGAGAAAGCTGAGGTTCTTCGTATATCTGGTCGTTCGGGTTCCTAAAGATACCTTTGGATGAATCTCTACCAACATTCGCCAAGCCTAGCCCATAGCTGCTGCTGGTATGCTGCGTTGAAACTTCGTCCCGCGGCAACGCAAAGTTGACCTTGAGGTTCTTCCGTAGAGTGCCATTCTTCTTAGGGCTGGGGAGATCCCTTTCCAGAGCAACTTCCTGCTCATCATGTGCTGCCCTTTCATCCGACTCTTGAATGCTGCTAGGACCGTTGTAGCTTATAGTCGATCCCTGGTAGGCAAGACGACGACTGCCCCGTCGTGGAGTAGGAGAGCCTAGCCTCTCGTCACGCGAATACTGACTTTTCCTATCTGGGCTTTTCTGGAGCGTGTCCAAATCAGGATTGTGATATGGTGCATATGGGTTCTTATAGGGAACACCGGGGTTCTGGTGCGTCCACACCAGCTCGGTAGCTTCATCTTGTGCTGCTGCATGGAGCTCGACGTCATCCTCCAGGTCCATCTGTTGCAAGGCATCTCGTAAGGACTTTGCCTCTTCTTTCTCTATGCGCCGTTGCGGGCTTTCACGATAAGCGGCGCTGGGGGAGGTAGGAAGTGCGCGACTGAAGGCTCGGGTGGGTGAGATATGCTGCCGTATGGGGACTGTCCTTGGTTCCTGGACCAACGGTCGTCCGATAGGGCTGCCCAGTGCGCCTCGCGATGAAGTTGGCCTATGGTTAGAAAGTGAGCTGGTGGCCCGAGGATGCTCGGCCTCAGCTGCTGGTGTCGAGTGCATATATGAATGTCCATACGACGACATTGCAGATGCTGCCCGTGGAGGGGGATCCTCCCGAGTGTCAGAGGACGATCCAGTTGATCTCGAAGGAAGCGGCCTGGATCCGCTGGGACGGGCAGGACGATTCGTCCGCAGATCTTTCAGATAGGTCGCTGTTACGCCAGGAATTAATTAATATCGCAATGTCAACCCACAGCCGGTCGCTCGGCCAACATCCTTAGAAAACGCAAACAATGCTCTGACTCAATATCGCAGCAGCGTAAACACGTACCGATCTGATCGTTGGACATGTAAGTTGGACCGGGAGGCGAGACCTTGCGCTGGCTGTCCCTGGCCTTGTGAAATTGAGGCCTATGCATCATACTGGCCATGGAAGTTGCACCTGCGAGATCATACCAAGGGGGGATATCAGAAAGGGGTAGGATGATGAGTTGGCTCTCAGTCGCAGAGCTATGAAGTAAGTGTCTAATATAATCGAATAGAGCCAATGAGATTCAAATGGGTGGCTGGGCAGTGGGCCAGGTATGGAATCAACTAGAGAGATCGGATCTGCCCAACTAGATCCGTTTTCCTTGCTTGAGGGCGATAAAGCGTTATTCTTACAGGGTTAGCGAGTTAGCGCGCATCAGAGACAGTAATTAGTGAGTAGTTAATAACGATTAGTTTCCATGAGCTCATGGATACTAGTACTGACTGACCGGCAGGGGTGGCCGACAGAGGGAAGACAGACAGAAGCTATGGCCATCAATCCCGCCGAGGGACAACAAAGCAACCAACCAAACAGTGCAAACATCAGGTTCCGGTTCTCAAGGCAACGCGGGGTCGTGATGACTCATCTCATCCCACAGTTAACTAGTTAGTTAAGTAAGTTAACTATCCCCTTTTGGGTAGTCCCGTTGGATAATGGCATTAAATCTAATAAAGCACTCACTACACGTACCACCGTGTGCATACATTTCTATCTGCTCCCTCTGAGATGAACGGACTAAATGTCCGTCTGCATGTGTGGGCATGGCAATACAATAATAGCTAGGCTGTGGGTCATTAACGCAGCCTCTGGTGAAAAACATTGATCAATTCGTCGGATCCCTCAGATCGGGTTATGCCTCGCAGTATGCGTCTGTGTAACCTGTCTTGGTACGACCAACGCTTCTTCTCTGGATGTTAATGCTCCTTTACCTAGTACCCATTACGGACTCATGAGAAGGTTACATCTCTGGTGCACAGAATCAAGGATTTAGCAAGCCCGTCTGACTTGCTACCGAAGTAACGGAGCCTTTGAACCTTCCCAACTCCAGAGGACAGTCGATGGACCTAAAGTACAGGCAGGATTCCCAACATAGAAGGGAAGTATACTTGCTGATATAGACATTGATATATCACCAGCGTAAAATACATCCAACTGCCACGGGGCGCGTACAACTAATGTGATAGCAAGTGATGGAATTGTAAGCAGGTGCGCCTTCTGGGACGCTGACGGGAGCTGCTAATGCTAGACGAGGCATTATTCTGTCATAAGTCATAACTTAAAGCTCTACGAGATAGCACAGGATCATTCCCAGTCCTCAGGTTGCACTTCCCCGATGTTTGGCTACTAGCTTAAGGCAGGAGCATGCACATGTATGGATGTCCAAGGAGGACCCATACGGAAAACCAGAACTCATAGCATCAAGCGTACAAAGTTGATCTATCGCCGACAGATATATCTAGCAACTTTATATGAGCTCGCAGCTCAAAAATTTTATTATGAGTGGACCGCCTCGTGTTCCCCAGACTCCGCACGGGTCAATCGGCACGACGGTTGCACTAGCTGGACCCATGGGCGCTATCTTCCTCAATCCTGGATGGATTTGAACCCAATCAACAAACCAGTCACAGACTGACTTTCTCGGACTAGTCACCGAACCGCTTATGGCGGAGGGCTCACTGACTGGTTCGTATGGCCGAGGATCTTGTTTCTTTTCGGGCTCTCAATGACACATCGGCGCTTTTTAGGCCTTCTGTTTTCCTGGACCCTTGCCATAAAACCGGCGCCATGCGGTTCTTCGATCTCTATCCCCGCTCAACTTTCTGTTTTGCTCTACCACTAGACTTTCTTGGCTACTCTTGGAGGCTTCATGTGAATGTTCGATAGTGTCCTCGATGCGGTACCTGGAAGTTAACAGCTGTGGTCTAGAGCAGCGTGCTAAATTCTCCTGACCTATCTTTGATCCTGGTATCTCGAAATGGGAGATAATACGCCAATCGACATCATCCATTCGCGAGATTATGATGAGACTCCAAATCTAGATCCTCTGTCGCAAGTACAGGAGCAGCACCAACAGGGTTCGGCTCCCAAAGATGCGGAGACCAAATATGAACAGAATATCGTTCCAGATGGTGGCTATGGCTGGGTTTGTGTTGCCTGCGTCTTCTGGATCAATGCGCACACGTGGGGAATCAACAGTGTTGGTTTTTCTAAATCATTTCCCCCACTACAGGGACTAACACACACATTTATCCCGAGATCTAGAGCTACGGCGTCTTTCTCTCCTACTACCTCTCGCATAATGTCTTTGCCAACGGTTCTGCCCTGGCCTACGCCTTCACCGGCGGTTTGAGCATCTCCTGCGCCCTCCTAGTAGCTCCTCTAGCCACATACCTCATCCACATCTGCGGAACCCGCCTGGTTCTAAACCTCGGGGTCTTTTTTGAAACCCTCTCCCTTATCGGCTCATCTTTCGCTACCGAACTATGGCACATCTTTCTTAGCCAAGGTGTCTGCTTCGGCTGGGGGATGGGCTTCCTCTTTGTTGGAAGCGTAGGAATAACCCCTCAATGGTTCCACCGCCGTCGCAGCCTAGCAATGGGCATCAACGCAGCCGGCTCTGGCATAGGGGGACTAATCTACTCCCTAGCTGTTGGCGCCATGATTCCCCGACTCGGCCTAAGCTGGGCTTTCCGAATCCTAGGAATTATCGCCTGCGTCGTCAACCTAGTATGCGCCAATCTTCTCAAGGACCGAAATAAAGACATCGGAAGCCGCCACCATGCCTTTTCCCTCCCCTTACTCAAGCGTCCCGAATTCCTCCTCTTCTTAGGATGGGGTATCCTTAGCATGCTGGGCTACGTCGCCGTGCTTTTCAGCGTCGCCAACTTCGCCCTCTCTGTCGGTCTCTCCTCCCATCAAGGCAGTGTCGTCAGCGCCCTGCTTAACCTCGGCCAGGGAGTCGGCCGACCCATCGTGGGCATGTTCAGCGATAAATTGGGCCGGATTAATATTGCCACATTCCTCACATTCCTGTGTGGCTTGTTCTGCCTGGTGATTTGGATCTTTGCTCGCAGCATGGGCGTGGTCTGCTTCTTCGCAGTTCTCGTCGGCACTGTTGCAGGAACCTACTGGGCGACCGTCACCCCTGTGCTGGCGGAGATTATCGGTCTGCGGGACCTACCAAGTGGGTTGAGCATTACATGGCTGGTTTTGGTACCTCCTACAACCGTGTCGGAGGCTATTGCGCTTGTGCTGAGGGATAATAGATCCACGGACTCGGTGTATTTGAGAGTGCAGATCTTCACGGGGTTCATGTACATTGGTGGCGCGGCGTGTTTGTGGCTTGTGCGAGGATGGAAGATAGGGGAGCTTGTGCAATCTGAGAAAAAGGAAGGAGCGTCTCCTGGTGTGATGGTTCCGAGTAGTATAGAGAAGAAAGATGAGGAAGAGCCTGCACAGAAGGGGGAGGAATATGATCCTTCGCCTGGGATACCCACATCAGGTGTGAAGGAAACTCAACTCTGGTCGCCGATCCATTTGTTGCGTCGGATGGTGGCCTTGAGGAGAGTCTGATTTATCTAGATAAGCAAGAACAGAACAGTAGAGACTAGACTAGATAGTATAAGATGACTGTCTAGATTGCCATTCTAGACCAGATATGTATTGGTCAAGCACAGAAGTACATAAAGATACATACACATACAATGATCCTACATAACGCACCGATCGACGCCTTCTAGTCGCGGTAGATTTTACAACCCAGAAAGATAGTCATGTCATTATTTTAGTAACTTTTCTCCAGTCTAGGCATCGCTTCCCAGAATCAGGATTCTAACCCGCCTCTTTCCTGCGCCGCGACCACCTTCTTCTTTCACAGAGCTAACGTTGACGTTGACCTTCTGGAACAGTTCCACGCCCATGCTGGGTTGCGATTCGGAGTTCCCTTTGTTGGAAACGCGGAGAGTGTACTCTTCATTGTCGAAGTCACTCTGTCGGCGCGTCACCAGCTCCCGTCGCTCGTCGACGGTGCGGAGAGCAGCGTCATCCGGAAGGACGAAATCCTCCAAGCGAACCACGCCCTCGATACCAAACCGCGGAACGAAAACAACGACGCCGTTCTCGAAGACACGCATGACGTAGCCCTCCTCTTCGATGCCGCCGTCCACGCCATCGGCTGCCATCTTCTCTCCGCGTGCCTTGAGCGCCTGTCCAACGTAATATTCGATGCTGGCGCGGCCGGCGAACTGGGCATTGCGATGACGGTAGTTGATGTTCCGGCAGATATCTTCGAGTCTGTTTCGGGTCATCACTCCCTCTACGACGGCGCGGCCATCTTCGCCCTCGTAGCCAATTGCTGACGCGAGTTGGCGGTGGACTAAGAGATCTGCGTAACGTCTGATGGGGGAGGTGAAGTGTGTGTAGATGGGTGAGGCTAGACCGTAATGACGGAATTCGGACTCTGCGTGGGCCCCTGCGCAGAAGTACTCCGCGGAAGTCATGCAACGGGTGGCGAGAATGCGGACCAAGGTGTTGAAGAAGGGGTTCTTCTCGTCGACACAACGGTCAAGGGAGTCGGCGAGAGCACGGGAGCTGGACACATCCAGTCTCATGTCGCGCTTCTTGGTGAGTTGGTTGATAAGCTCTTCGAAGTTTTGCGGAGGAGGGGTGGCGTGGCGTCGGAGCATGGCGGTCTGGGAGAAGGTGCTGTAGATCTTGGAAGCAACGGTAATGTTGGCGTGAAGCATGAATTCCTCAACGAGGCTGTTGGTCTCGAGCATGGCCTTCGTCTTCACGTCCGTGAGAGGGTCGCCGACTTCGTCGTTGTCGGTTTCAATCCGGACTTCTGGCGAGGCGAGGTTCAGCGCACCTGCGTCCATACGCTTCTGTCGGAGGATCTTAGAGAAGCGGAGCAGAGTGCGCATGCTTTCGGTAAGTTCGTCTTTCTGCGTAGGATCGTCGATGCGCTTCTGCGCCTTTTCGTAACTGAAGGCTTCGCGAGAACGGATGACGGATTTGGTGAAATCTGCGGAAACGACTTCTGCGTCGGGTGTCATCTCCCACAAAACGGAGAAGGCGTATCGCTCAACGTAGGGCTTGAGAGAACAAAGGTCTGTACCGAGAAGATGGGGCAGCATATCGATACGCTTGTCGACTAGGTAGACTGTTGTTCCACGGAGACTGGCCTCCAGGTCCATTGCATTGTTCGGCTTGACGAAATGAGACACATCTGCAATGTGGACACCGACTTCAAAGTTGCCGTTCGGTAATGGTCGTGCATGAAGCGCGTCATCGATATCTTGACAGCCTGGCGGGTCGATACTGCAGATAAGGAGATCTCTAAGGTCCCTTCGTCCCTTCCAGCCGATATTATCCTTGCTAGCCGGTACCCTCCAGTCATGGCCCTCGGCGGGAAGACAGTCGAGAACAGCCTTCGGGAATGGCTTGTACTGAACGTCATACTCAAGGAGCAGAGCCTCTGTCTCCGCACCCTTGGTCTCCAGTTCTCCTAGTGAGCGAATGAAATGGCCGGTGGGGTATCGGGAATCACGGTCCCAGGCGTCGATGGTGACAAGAATACGTTGACCCATAAGATCACCAGCTTGTCTAGTACGGACGCGGATCTTAGGTACACGCTTGTCCATAGGGAGGACGAAGACGGTCTGCTGGCGGCGACCGCTGCTAGCCTGAGCACCTGCCGAACCGGCATCGACATGTCCGACATATTGACGCCAGTTGCGTTTCATGACTCCAACCACCTTGGCTGTCGGTTGTGGTTTTCCCTCTGAGCTCTTTCCATGGGCTTTCCTGACCTCTTCTTGCAAGGCCTTCCGTTCCCTCTCCGACACCACTGCCTCGGTATCATCGGTATCAGGATTGTCATTCTTCGTCACCGCCTCTTCATCGACGATCTTGGTAGATGGCGACTTCCATTGGTCCTTGGGAAGTACTTCAATAACAACAACATCCCCAGAGATGGCTCTGTTGCTGTTGTCGCGGCCCAAAATGAGCAAGGGCTTGTCGAATGCCGGGACATTGACAGAGCCCTCCAAATAGTTGTACGGCGAAACATTGAAGACTCCCTGGTGCAAAGTTCCAGCTCTAATGCCTGTCATGAGTTTGGACATCGAGTAGTATTCGGGGTAGAAAAGCTCGCCGCGTGCGCCCTTCGCTTCCCTTGCCTCCCGAGACTCGTTGATCATGTCAAGTAGCCTGTCTGAGTCCTCTAGGCCGGCCACATAGTCTGACAGTGACAATGCTGTTACTCTCTCCTCCTTTGCTTTGCGCAAGTTTTCCTTGTCGTCCGTGATGACAACGATAGCCGGGATGTCGTTCTTCTTCCCCTTCTTCACCGTGGTCTTGAGATGTTCCGCATACCACTTCGCCACTGTTCGCACAGCTCGGTCATTCCTGTCATTTATCGACTCATCGGGTCCTCTCCGGACATGGGTTTCCAGTCGAAACTCGTTGAAGAAAAGGTAAAACCGCTTTTCGTCGGTCTTGATCAGAGAGAGCAGGCGGTTGTAGAGGGGCAGGGACTGGTTCTTCAGTTCCTCGAGGACGGTTTGGAGGATAATAACATCGTAGAAGGCTCCGGTATGTTCGAAAAGATCCATGCCATTCAGCAATGCATTCGTATCGGGGACAAGATAGTGCCCGCGGGGGAAAGCGCTGGTGCCCGCGGGCTGCTCCGAGAGCACGAAAGGCGTGACTGTGTCGCATTAGCCATCAAGCGAAGCAAAATCCTGATCCGCTTGTCTCACTGTTTCCATTGGCATCTGCTGGTGCAGTAGATGCGCAAGTCGAGCAGAGCTTAGACGAGCAAGGAATGTCTTGTCTGAGGTAAAGTTCGCGAACGATCTTTTGAACTTTTCCGCTTTTCGTGGATCTCACGAAGACTTTGCTGGTGACATTTGCTGCCTGCGGATTCGACGAGAAGTCTCGCCGTAAACTCTTCATCTTGTCTGTATAGCGACCACACTCCTGGCAGGTCGTTTTAATCTGCGGCCCAAGTCGGTTTTTCAGGCCGTTGGTGCACTTCGTGACGTTTGCTCGGATCTGGATCCGCGTGCTGAAGCGGGATTGAGACGATGGTCCGGATCGGGAAAGTCTGCCGAGTGCCGACGGGCATCGCCATGGGCTCTCTCGTGATAAGCATGCTATGTTCCGTCATCAACCTCTGAATCGTCCGTAGACAATTTCACTCTCCGTTTACAGAAGTCAAGTGACTAGTAGCTCATAGACATGGTTCTCACAGTAAGCGCTTAATGCCTCAGTAGATGTCCTTCTACTATGTTTGTGGAGTTCTCACTGATATGATATATTTACCTCACAGGCCGTGGGGCAACTATGCTCAACTGCAAGTCTAGCGGCCAACTTGGCGCAATGCCAGACGCTGGTACGTAAAGCAGCCGCAGCTGGAGCTAAAGTAAGTTTTTGTATCGTGCTCACAAGTCATTTACGCTTGGTTTATACCAGTATCGATATCGATCTAACATCTTAGTAGGCATTGTTTCTTCCTGAGGCTTCAGACTATATCGCATCATCGCCTGCAGAGACCATCTCACTCGCACGCTCTGTACAAGACAGCGAGTTTGTACTGGGTCTCCAGAAAGAGGCGCAATTGGCCAATCTGCACATCAATGTAGGGATACACGAACCGGCGGCGAACGGGAGGATCAAGAATACCCTCATCTGGATTAATGAACAGGGAAATATCACACAACGCTACCAGAAGGTCCATCTATTCGATGTGGATATCAAGGGTGGACCAGTATTGAAAGAAAGCGCGTAAGTTTAGTGTATAGATGTGGCGCGATTGAAGTCGGCTAACTTCAGATGAAGGAGTGTCGAGAAGGGGATGGAGATACTACCGCCTTTCGAGACGCCCGTTGGGCGAGTTGGCTTGTCCATTTGTTTTGATGTAAGCTGAAGCGGTCCGTTCAAACTGCAAGGCGTCTCGCTCACGTATAGACTTACACAGCTGCGCTTTCCTGAGATTAGTTTGGCTCTCAGAAGACAGAACGCTCAGATAATCACATATCCATCAGCTTTCACGGTTCCTACCGGAACAGCACACTGGGAGACCCTCTTACGCGCCAGAGCTATCGAAACACAGTCCTATGTGATTGCCGCAGCTCAGGCTGGGCCTCACAACGAGAAGAGGAGAAGCTACGGACATTCCATGATCGTCAACCCATGGGGGGAAGTTGTTGCCAAGCTCGGCGATGAATACCAGGAGCCGCAGATCGCGGTTGCAGACATTGATCTAGATCTCCTTGCTAAAGTCAGGAGAGAGATGCCGCTACTCAGAAGAACGGATATATACCCAGAAGTATAGGCAGTCATGGCATTTGACTCAGCACATATGATATCTATAAATACTACGCCATATATATTATCATTACCGTCTTCTTGTTGTATAACACCAAGATAATAGATTGCTATCCAGTGTGAACGTAGCCGAAAACCGAGATACACATCATACAACCCATGTATAAGGCACAAACATCTATTTCTCCCGTTTTTGAAACATTGCAAGCATGTCAACGAAAAGAATTCAGGATATAGGATGACAGATACACGCAGGTAATTGGAGGCGAACAGTGAAATGAAATAGAAAAGCCCTGTCTAGGGTCGGACGTAATGTGCCTATTGACACCACTCGAACGAAGATTGTCTTCCACGCCCGACCGCTCTATGTACAAAGTACAAGATATTTCCGGACCAAAAGCACCTTACTTGCGCTGGACCTTGTCAGGGTCCTCCAGAATGCCTTCGGCCTCCAGCCGCCGGCGAGCCTCTTCCAGAGCCCATGTTTGTATCCTGTGGTCACGTCAGCATCTAATCTTCGACTCCGTTGAAGCGGTGAAATGTTTTGTTGTGACGCGCCGAAAGATCTTAAAACAATCTACTTCAGCTGTCACACGAGGGAGAGAAATTGACATACGAAGTGTCTGGCTTGAAGACGTATGCGACACCGGCAACGAGAAGACTGCCGATGAATCCATAGTACCACATGTTCTCCCAACCCTCCTTCACATACTTCTGGCCGGGCTTGAGGCCAAACAGGTAGCCGGTAGGAGGGTCATAGTGGTCACCGCGGAGGTTGCTGCGGGTCGAGAAGCCCTGGATGTTCTGGGCCCGGCGGGGGACACAGCGAGCGCGAAGGCAATGCGACAACGGACGAGCAGACATTGTGAATGTGCGGAGGGTCTGTTGCAATTCAGAAACCCCTAGTTTTCAACGTGGATGATAAGGGACAGGCGGTGGCGGGTGAGGATCCCTGTCGGGTATGGCGAGGCAACGACCGCTGGATTGGTATGCCGAAATTAGGAATCCGTTCGACCAGCGACGACAATAGTCGACCCAATTGAGTGATTTCAAATATCACTGCTTTCGTTGGAGCGGCAGGAGCGGCAGGTGGAGGGGTGATGTGACGGTCAAGCGGTTGATGTTCAGAAGCCGCAAAAGGCCGATGACTGCTGGGATTCTGCCGCTAGGCCCGATCAGGCAAATTTCCTTGCCGCCTTTCGGCCTGATGTCACAGGCATTAACAGTAATATGCCTGAGGCAGGAGCACTCGACGCGCGACGCGTTCGAGACCAATTAAATTGGCTTATCGCATATCGCGCATCGGCAATGCTACTATTGCGTGCATTGAACCAATTCTGGTCTGCATTAGCACTCTGTCTTGAACCTGTCACTTATGACTCGGTTGTCAAGGAATTCTAATGCCAGTCGATAAAATAAAGGTACTTATTGTTCGCGGAATTATTCAGATGATCGAGGATCCACTTGACATACTCCTGCTAACCGCCTAGGCCTTTCTTCTCGAGATGCCCCATTGCCCCCCAGCTCCCGAAGAACGCCAACTATAAAACACGATGAACACGGGCAACGGAACATACAGGGTATCTTCGCAATCACGGTCGAAATTGAACGCTTTTCGGTATAACCATCAAAATGGACCAACCCCAGACAAGACCCCTCAGAAGACTTCCTTAGCACCTGGCCATGCGAACAAGGAGAACCAGACATCTTGGTTGAACGGAGTGATGGAAACCGAACAATCGAAGGCAAATAATCAAAATCAAACAACGGAGCCAGCAGAACCAAAGGCATCGAAGGAATGCCCTCACACACCAGGAAATAGAATCCCTCTTGCGGACCTTATCAACAATGCAGAGGATGCTTTCATCCATGCTCCTATGCCGGAATTCACCCCAGAAGATTACGTTGTCTGGCAGCATGTGCCTGCAAGCTCAAATCCTGATAGGATGTCTCAGACGCCTGCAACACAGGGTAAAAAGCGCCGCCACAGCTCATCCCCGACTAGTTCTCCTCTGGCAGGGACTTCGAAAAGCAGGCGCAAAGGATCAATTGATTTGCAGAATTCTCAGACACTCATAAAGACTCCGCAGCATGACCTCGCTGCTGACCTGTGGAACAGCTATGTGAGCAAAACACTTGCCAATAGCAATGGTGAGCAACTTCGGCCACGCTTCACAAATCTCCTCTCTTCTTCACCGCAAACACCAGCGTCAGTGCGCACCAGTCGAGATTCTTCAGGTCTTAGACGATCAAATAGCTGTATGGCAGAATGGCCAAGTTCGAAGACCAAGCGAAGAAGGATCGACAAGGAAAACTTTGGTGCAGGACGAAGCATTTTCTCAAGAACGAGAAGTAATGTTGTCAACCCTGGAAACTACCAAGGCCCCAATATCAGTTCTCTCGTGGAGGAAATCGAAAAGACTTTGAAAAAGGCACCTGGGCCGCTACCGGACACAACTGACTCGTCTCCTGTCCCAGCACGTAACCAAGACAGGCGTGGCAGATCAAAATCTCCGACCGAGGATAGAAAGAGCCAAGTACAAGCCTCGAAGATAACCAGCCAAGTGCACGAACCCAGGATTATTCATGCTGCCCCCGAAGACAGGAAACCGTTGGAAGAGTCCTCATCAGATTATGGGGACGATGAATTTGACCAGGACTTCTTCGATCTTGCAGAAGCCTCGATGGATCCATTTGTGGATGCCGGCTCCTCTCACCTTAATGACAAGGCTCTGAGTGGTCAACCTGTGAACAACAAGGCTTCAACAGAGGCCCGCGCTTTGACTGAGGAATGGACAGAGACTGATGCGGTGACTATGGAAATTAATGTGGAAAAACCGACTAATGATGTTGATACCCTTGATGCTGATGAATTTGACGATGATTTTGATGGGTTGTCGGACAGTATGGGGGATCTTCTCGCTCAATGCGAAAAGTCGCAGAGCACTGATATGGCAAAGCCCGTTTCTACGAGGCCAGCAGCTTTCAGACAATCAATTCCAGAAGTCAAATCCGGGGATTATCTTGGCGCGACGTCTGAAGCGTTCATTCAGAAGAAGGGAGAACAAGATGCGTCTTTTGGTGATGAATTTGACGATGATGGCTTGGATATTGAGGCCATCGAACAATCCATGGTGCATTCAGGAGCAGATGCAACAAACGATGTTTGTCATTCTTAGTGGGTTTATATGTTACATACTTACTAAGGCCCATATATAGAACGTCAGAAGCCGACAAGCCATCAAGCGCTACCTTATTGTTGATATTGCGGAGTCTGCGTATAAGACCATCAAAGGGCGCGTTCAGCCAGAACAGGTCTGTCACCATAAAACCTAACAGGTTTACATTCCCACTGACACCAAGAAAAGATGCTTTCTGTACAAGATGAGAGGTCGAAGGAAAAGAAAGTCGTCATCCTTCGAGAGTCTTGGTGCGAGTGTCCATGCGTCAAGGAATCATATATCCACTTAATCGGGGATTTCGATGCCACAGGACATTGCATCGTGGATGATTCTAGGAACATGGTTATTCTCCATCCGGACCACCTGGTCTCTGCAACTGTCGTGGCAGACTCGATTAGTTGCCAGCGCCGCGCCGTCCTGCAGGATCGAATCAAGTACACGTCCGAGCTAGGCAAAGCGCAAGTTTTTGGGAACATATTTCATGAGGTGTTTCAAGAAGCAATCAAGCTCAACAAATGGGATACGAACTCGCTAAGGACTTTGATTGAAGGCGTGACTGTCAAGCGCATCGAGGATCTATACTTGATCCGCATGACTATTCCGGAGGCTGTTGAATATATGATGAGTCGGATACCGGGCGTGCAGGCTTGGGCAGAGCGGTTCCTCAGGTTAAAGCCAAGTGTAAGTTAAACCAGCCACCATTCGTGATAGCTATACTGACTGTTCCAAAGGCGGAATCGCTGGTTGAGGACCGTGGCAACTCCAAGCTGAGTTTAAGTATCAATAAGCTCCTCGAAGTCGAGGAGCATATTTGGTCTCCAATGTATGGACTCAAAGGCAACGTTGATGCCACTGTGCAAGTCGCTTGTCATGACGGCGAGAGCGATAAAAACCTGGTCGTACCACTTGAGCTCAAAACAGGCAATAGGGATACAAATCAGGCTCACAGGGCACAGACGGCTCTGTATACTTTGCTGCTTTCTGATCGCTACGGTAAGAGAGCCCCTACCGGTGTTAAACCCCATTATCGATAGAAACTGACGCGGCCCTGTAGATGTGGAATGTACCTTTGGATTGTTATATTACCTCGAAACAACGAAAATATTCCGGATTCGTGGCATCCGGCATGAGCTCCTGCAGATGATCCAGCAGCGAAATCGCATAGTCGGATACATGCGCCAGAGAACGCACCTGCCGCCGATGGCCAAGAAGTCCTCATTTTGCAACAAGTGCTACTCAAAAACACCTTGTTTCATCTACCATAAGCTTGCAGATGATGGTGATGGTGAAACTAGCGGTCTTGGTGATGATTTTGTCAACGCCATGGACCACCTGACTCCTGATGATCGCGACTTCTTTCGAAAATGGGATGATTTGTTGACCAAAGAGGAAAAAAGCATGATTCGGTTCAAGCGCGAGCTTTGGACCATGCTTAGCAGCGAGCGCGAGGCTTTGGGTCGATGTTTTGGCAATGTCGTGATCGACCCTAATTCCTCCTACGAGGAGAAAGATGGACCCAAGATTAATCGCTATCGCTATACTTTCATCAAAAAACAAGCCCACCCATCATTTTCATTTACTGAATCCCAGCTCACACTTGGAGAACCAATCGTGGTCTCTGATGAGAAGGGCCACTTTGCTCTTGCAAATGGATACGTTGTGCAAGTCAGCCGAAGACACATTACCGTCGCGGTAGACAGGAGGTTACATAACGCCAGAACGAGAGCTAGGGGCTTTGATGCCACGCGTAACCAGTCGTTCAAGGGTATAATGGAAATACTCGAGGACGGTGCCTCCCCGTCACCGGCTGAGTCGGAAGAAGAGCCGGTCTACCGTTTAGACAAGGACGAATTCAGTAACGGCATGGCAATTGTCCGAACGAACCTCGTTTCCATGATGGAACGGGATCTATTTCAGGCTAGACAGCTGAGGAGGTTGATCGTTAAACGGGAGGCGCCAGCTTTCAAAACCACTGCATCTGCATATACTTTGTCTGAATCTGACAAGGCAGCCTTAAACGTCGATCAGCGACAAGCCATCGACAAGGTCATGTGTGCTGAAGATTATGCCTTGGTCCTTGGAATGCCTGGTACTGGCAAGACTACCACCATTGCTCATATCATTCGTGCCTTAGTGGCACAAGGCAAGAGCGTCCTCTTGACCTCCTACACTCACACGGCGGTTGATAACATCCTACTGAAAATCAAGGATGATAACTTCCGTATCTTGCGAATTGGGGCTCCTGCAAAAGTACATCCTGATGTTCAGCAGTTTGCTGAATTGGCAGCGGTGCCTAAAAGCACAATGGAAGAGCTGAAAGCCTCATACGAAGATTCGCAGGTGGTGGCGACTACCTGCCTCGGGGTCAGTCATGGTATCTTCACCCAACGTATGTTCGACTATTGCATAGTTGATGAGGCTTCTCAAATCACGCTTCCAGTGTGCCTAGGACCTATTCGAATGGCTAGGACGTTTATCCTTGTTGGTGACCACTATCAACTGCCTCCGTTGGTGCAGAATAAGGAGGCCCAAGAAGGCGGCCTGGATGTCAGTCTTTTTAAATTGCTGTCTGACTCCCACCCCGATTCCGTTGTCAATCTGGAACACCAGTATCGAATGTGTGAGGACATCATGCTTCTATCTAACACCCTCATATATTCTGGTCGTCTCAAATGTGGGACTGCAGATGTTGCAGTGCGCTCACTCACTGTTCCCAATATTGGCGGTCTCAAGCAACATCATCCCAGCACCTTCCCTCAGCCACGTAGTCAGCGACAGGTTTGCTTGGGCACAAGCCAAGGCCGTTGCTGGCTCAAGGATCTGGTCGAACCGTCTGCCAAAACTCGACTTGTTAACACAGATACGCTTTCCATACCTGCACTGGATGTGGCAAACGGTTCACGGATTGTGAACCCTACTGAGGCAACTATTTGCAGCCGACTCGTTGAAGCATTCATTTCCTGCGGCATCCCCGCACGCAGCATAGGTGTCATAGCCCTCTATCGAAGCCAACTGTCACTCCTAAAACAAAACCTCAGCCGCTACCTACCGGAGCTTGAGATGCATACGGCAGACAAGTTCCAGGGCCGAGACAAGGAAGTGATCATCCTGAGCTGCGTGCGGAGCAACACTGACAAGAACGTCGGTGATCTACTTCGTGACTGGAGACGCGTCAATGTCGCATTCACCAGAGCACGGACTAAGCTTCTCGTCGTCGGAAGCAAGAGTACTCTCCGCGATGGCAACGAGCTCCTTGGAAAATACGTGAAACTAGTCCAAGAGCGAGGATGGGTCTATGATCTGCCTAGAGATGCCATGACGGATCATATCTTCGAATCTGAAATGGTACCATCGCAGTCTTGTCTGGACAGGTCTACACCTAGTCCAAAGAAGGGCAAGAGCCCTGTGTCATCCAAGAAGACAACCCGCAGTCCATTCGGTCCCGTTCAGACTCGACTATCGCCGACTGGCTTGAAGAAACCTGCTAAAAGGGGCGCTAAGTTGATGAGCGGTGGTAGAGTCCTTGGGAATCGACCTGTTCTGCAGGACATGGTTAATGATCTCATCGGATAACTGTTATTCATGTCTTGGTCAGTACTTTATATTTGCTTGAAGGGTTCTTAATATCGTTTGGCGTGTATTGGGTATGGAGTTTGGGACAAAGGATAAATTGAATGCAACTAGGGATTATGATTTTGGATACCAACGGACATGCAGAACAACTTCAATAGCTAGAGGAATAATATCATTTGATCATTAGAGTCGCACATAATGTAATGGATGCCCAAAGATGTAGTAGGTACTTTTCAGATTTGGGGTATATTGAACAACCGTAACTGCACTCCTGAGCCCACCGGACAGCGGCATACTATAAAACAGTTCATAGAATCGAAGCACCGACGTACTCCCAACATATAAAGTGCCGGCCATTACCCTTAGACGGACTATCTGCCTGCACCCCCAACACATCTTGCTTTGGCACATGTGCCGGAAGCACCATAACCGTGTACCCATCGCGTGCCTCCACGGCTTCTCTTCCCAGCGCACTCGCAGAAAGCGCGAACCAAGCGTACGGGGCAAGAGACTTGGGAGCAGTTTCCTTCCTGAAAACGCAAAGAAGCCAAGTCAGCAAATTATTCAATATCAGATGAGTGTCATAACAGGGCATGTGGAGCATACAATAACGCGACCAATAATTCGATGATCCAACGAGACGGGACAAGTCCTTGCCACTTCAGGCTGACAAGACTGGTGGACTTTGCATTATCCAAATCGGGTACACTGTAACGACATAGATAGGGATCCACATCGTCATGAGCCGACACGCGAGGCGATTCGAGGGATACCATTGCAAGCCATTCGGAGAGCTCGTTGCAGTGGTCTTCTAGTTCTGCTGCTCCGCGGGACTCGTCTGTGATTTCTGCTCCAGGGAGAGGAGGGACAAGGATATTGGAGTGCTCGGTGAAAATAGGCTGGCAATTGATGATTTGGGGCTGGTTTCCCTTTAGGGAGGGGTCATCTGCTCATGTTTTAGTGTATGGTCCTGGGAGAAACCCGCAGAAGAGCGCCTGATAAGGTATAGTACCTTCTGAAACGCCACCCGAGCTAGTTGTAAGATCGAAGAATAGCCAGGCTACTGATTGGTTTAAAACGTTCTTGAAAGCCCATACAATTCTCTCGAAGCCCTTCTTGCCGTGAAGCATGGAGGGAAGTCGAAGGTTGATTTCCACGACTGTTTACCAGGACTTGTTGTCAGCATGTCTCCTCGGTTTGGGGGGCATGGTATGGAAAGAACATACTGAACCTCTCTTTTGCATGCTTTCTTCCTCCGCTGCGAACCGGCTTCCCTGTAAGCCCTGTTCTTTCGAAGATTTCTTTGCTCAGCTCCAATTTTAGGATGCCTAGGGGGCCTGTTAGCTGAGTATGCTAGAAAACCACAGCCGGAGACTACAAACCATCTTTAAGAGTGAAGACACTGTCTGAGCCTGAGCGTCCCTCTGATATCATGAGAATATTCCCTATACCATGTATGTTAGCTACTATATCGGCCTTTGCGCCCCAGCCAGGAGGCGACGAAGAGTGGAAAACGCAATAATTACCGGTCTTGATGTAAGTATTGAAGAATTCACCCTCGAGCAGAGAAGATAGCGACATAAAAACTCTAGCATATCGCAGCTTTTGCAGCTGGGGTTGCACATGCGAGAAAATGTCTTTTGGCAAAATGACTTCAACCTACGCATCGACTAGTTAGCGTTTCTCTAATATTGTGCCAACATACATATGATGAGGAACTGTCACAGCACAACCACAGTATAAGAGCCTAGTGATAATAGTCCGGGAAATATATAAAGAGTACAGAGTATCTTACCGTGTGAACGAATGGATGGCCAAGGATGGCCGAGCAGGGGGACCGTTTCGTGGGCGGCTGCTTGGGATCGATAAAAGCAGGCAGTTGGCCTATGGTGGTGTAGCATTTTTCGCGTTTAGACGCATCATCTTCAAAGTCGAGCATGCTTCTGAGAAGATTATAACAAAGCCTGGCGATCCGTCGATTAGACCGTCGGCAGTCTAGCTCAAGTCTTGAATACCGGTAGATGAAATTTGTGGTTGAGCTCGGAGAGAATTTTCGGCCCTATACAATAGCTGCTCGACTCACACTGGACGGCTAATAGAAGGCGTGATGCATCAATAAGTAATAACTGATGGATTTAAGCACACAGATGCAAAAAGCTCTTGTATAGTTACGCCGTATACTACTGGCTGATATGCAAGATAATTGCTGCTTGGAATGTTCCGCCGGGTCACCTGACCATATACTGACTGCACGTTTCGGACAAGTCTACCAAGAGAGAGTGTTATGGAATGAATTGGACAAAGTACCGAACTGTATATCAAGAATGACACTCCTCACAGTGTCCTTAAAAAAATTGACAACCTTCAATACTATACCTGTAGGTCAGACGCCTAGCCAACTGGCGAGTGCCAGCATTATGTCATCTCGATTGTGATCTTCTATCGCCGAGCTCCAGCCAATCACCGAACGCGCCTCACACTCTCTGCGGGCATCGATCGAACATCGCGCGCAAGAGCCCTTTCGAATCTCCCCGCAATTTGGCAGCGCCGTTTCGCAATTGCTCCTAGAAACTACTTTCGTTACTGAAGTCTTCTTCGCCACTCATTTTGCAAGGAACTCTCTCCCCACTCCGCCATTCACAGCCCTGCGGGGCATCAGTTCAGGCTGCTGCCGCCGCAATCGCGAACCCGCCAGCAGCAGCAACAATTACACAAGTACCACCTTGACAATGGCGCCTCCTCGACGGAATCTCCTCCCGAAAGACCGGTTTGGTCTTGCATTTGGTGGTCTAAAAACACAGAACTACCATGATCCCGCTGCTCGCGGGCCTGGTTCTCATACGTATATGCCCATCCGACATATTACTATCACAGCAGAGAAGCAAAACGCATACTGATGATGGAGGACGACGGAAAATCTAGGATTCGCACAATAGCCTGGAACCCTACCGGTCAACTTATTGCCACCGGCTCCGCAGACCGTACCCTTCGGATCTGGAACCCTGAGCGTTCGCAAGTGAAATACTCCACCGAACTGCGCGGCCATACTGCTGGAATTGAGAAAGTCGTGTTCAACCCCGTTCGAGACTCCGAACTGGCCAGCTGCTCTACGGATGGAACCGTTCGCGTTTGGGATGTCCGGTCAAAGACCTGCGTCAGTCGTCTAGACGTCGGAGGCGAGGCATTCACCTTGTCCTGGTCTGCTGATGGAAGGGTAATGATCGTTGGCAGGAAGGTGAGCAAAACACACACGAGCACGAAAACAATGCGCTCAGCATCAGGGACTTGTCAATTGACCAAACGCCCAATATCTCTAGGACGACACCCTCATACCCATCTCCGTCGAATCCCCCTCCACCCCAACCATCCACCCAGACGGACCACTCAACGCTGCAGCGACGCAACAACAACAGAAGCCCACCTTCACACCATCAACCTACACAGCCCTAGAACCACACCCTCAGCCCATCCAAACAAACGCAACGACCTTCTCACATCACATGTCCACCCCTTCCTCCCCAGACCTCCACCTCTTCGCCACGACCGGCGAAGGCACCGTCAAAATCATCTCTTACCCGTCCTTTGCCAATCTCCACACCCTTCACGCCCACACTTCTGCTTGCCTTTCCATCTCCTTAGCACCTACAGGTCGCTACCTCGCCGTCGGGGGCAGCGACGCCCTCATCTCCCTATGGGATACAACGGACTGGATCTGCAAGCGTACTGTCTCGAGCAATAACGGTGGAGCCGTGCGTGGCGTGAGCTGGAGCTTCGACGGTAGATTCATCTGCGGCGCTTGTGATGAGGTAGGCTGTGGTGGTAATGGGTTGGAGATCTTCCATGCGGAAACGGGTGAGAGTGTTCATACCGTTCCTACGGGAGGAAATGCCAATTCGGGGATTCCGGCTGTCGCGTGGCATCCTTCGAGGTATTGGCTTGCATATTCTACTACTGCGGATGGATCGGGCCCAGGCGGTTTGAGAATTGTAGGGGCTGCGGGTGGAAGTTTGTAGAAACAGCGGTATCCATGGTTCGAAAAGGTGATATTACTTTGCATCTTTGTGTATGTGTGTCTTGTGGCGTTTGGCGCGTTGGATGTTTATTTGAGCTTATGATGTCTACGGTAGATATTAAGCATTGTATTGCATGTCTTGTATAGAGTCCATTCCTATGCTGGTTTGATATACTCTGTTTGGTTCGCGGATATTGCGAAGGAGATGTAAACGTGCTACGCTCAATACGATTTTCGAAGAAAAAGAGCCCACAGCATATTCAGCATCAATCATTAGTCATCTATATATCGTAGATCACATCACCAGCCACTTTGTCGCAAAGAGCTCACTGCTTCCATTCCCAAGCTGAAGCTCAAGACATAAAATTCAACCCTTGCCACGACTTCCAGGCCCCCGAAGCGAGTAATGCCCACTGAGCGTCGCTGAGAGCTTCGGGGCCATTAGGCGGATTATTGACTAGATTTTCATCGCTGAGGTCAGGTATAGGGTTCTCTGAGGTAGTCCACGCAGAATCAGTAGTGAGGGGGTTTTCGGATCTCGTCGGATCAAGCTGAGTTGGCTGATTGGGAAAGGAGGTGTCGGCTTCGTATTGGAACGGAGCAAAGACATTGGGGTAGAACACATCTGGCTGAATAGGGGCTTGTGCTGAGGAGGGGTATGTCGTTGGTCCCATGTTGAGGTTGTTCAGAGTGGAAGCTAGCTGTGAAGGTATGGTATTGGTTGACTGATTGGTGTTGGCATTGTCGTTGGATGTAGGAGGCATGTGCGTATCCAGATTTGATATAGGATTGCCCTTTCTGGTCGGTGCTGCGTGATTGGATGTATTGGTGCCGTTTTGAATCGTTGTGCTTGGTCGGCCTGGTGGCATCTCAGTGGTAGTCTGTTGATATGCATGTGCAGTGGGTGTGGGTCCAGGAGTGCTTTGATGGTGATCTGGGATTAAATTATCGGCCTGAACTCTTGGTTGGTTTGCATTCTGTGGATTGCTCGCGCCAGCCTAGAATGGTCTCTGGTCAGCAGATCGCCGTCACTGGTATAACAGGCATGCTTACCATAGTATGTGGTATATGGGACGCGAAGCACATCCTTTTCGGAGTCCGAACATCTCCAAAGGCAGTCCCACCGATGTCAAATTCAAGTTGGATCATAAATGATTCAGCCAGTGGATTCTTTTGTTTCAAGACATCGAGTGCAGAAAAGGCAAATTGGAGAGATGAACGTGCAGCGGAGTCATTGGGGCGAAACTTCAGGTATTGGATGAAAACGCGCGCAGCCACGTATATACAAAAAGCCATAAATGGATCCATCTGCTTTGTGTTAGCACAATGAAGTCGAATAGAAGTTATGCTATAACTGACAACACTTAGATCCAGATGACTGATCATCTTCATTATGTTGGAGATTTGATCGGCAGCTAATATACATCGTCGCTTGCTCTCAGTGGCAATCTGTTCCGGCATTCTATTCTTTTCAGCTTTGAATATCGCCCCTTGATGTAGACAAATCGTTGCTGTGTGGACAGCCATGTTGCAGAATATGATGTTTGGATCGGTCGTTAAGACTGTCAGTCGCAGATGACTTGGCATGGAGAGGGCAAAATGAAGTAGAAGATTATCAAAGGCACGGTGCCGCTGCCAGTACCTGCCATTGAGATCATGATCATTGTCTTGGGGATCAGGTCGATGCAGATGTGCTACATTCTTTCCGAACATGCAAGCTAATATCACGATTCCTGCAAATGTTGACATCGTAGCAATATTCCCGGTTACCAGTACGTCTGCGAGTCGACCGGTTTGTTGCGGTTCGTTGCCGATAAATGATTCCTCTGATGCAGGAAGGTTCGTGAAAATCTGTCGAGCTCAGTCAGACAAGCTTGTTCCCTTTCAAATAGAGCAGACGCTGAAGCAACTGACATCTCTCTCATCAAACGAGACAGGCCATCCAGTACCGACGCTTGCGTATCTATCAAGACAAAACGCCATCCAAAATACCCTCCTTCGCTCTTCTCTCTCAGACCAGTCTTTGGGAGGCGGCAATGTCTGTTTGACGTTGAGACCCTCTTCGTCTATACCATTTAGACCTAGCATAGTCGCTAGTCTGACAGCCTTCCCGACACTTAGCCACGCTCGAGGAAGAAACATCATTTTGAATTCGTATGTGCCGATGAGCACCCAGGTTTGACAATGTGCGGTAGACAACGCACGCTCGCCAAGACCTTCCAACTCGTCTAGTTCAGCGTACTTACGAGCCCGCTGGTAAAAAATACTGTGAAGACTGGCGTACTTGTTGGTGACAGACGCCGCATGACACCACATTATGTACTGTAAGCATATAGGGGGTCGTGAGGCAGGAGCAAGGCTCGAAGCTGCCAGATACCTTGGGCGATGTATCATGGGAAGCCGCAGATGTATCTTCTCGAAGTATATCGTGGTCCTGTACAGGATTAGAAGGTGGATAAAGATCTCAGTTGTGGGGAGGAAAACTTGCAGCTCATCAATAACCTCCTGCGTGGGTAGGGGTTCTTCCAGCCCCAGGCCTATCAATCTACCTTCTGGTTCATTGGCGCTTGCTGTTCCTGCATGATTTGATGCGGGAGTCGAATAAGTAGGATCAGTCTCTCCTTCCGGAGATGACATATGGACATCATCCTGGGGAGAGGTGTCGGGCACGCCAGTCGAATTGATTGAGGGTAAGGCAATAGGACTATTGCCCTGGCTTTGCTGTACTTGTGCTCCCTGACTTTTGAGTAGTGTTTCGACCTGGGCTGCATAATAAGTGTGATGTCAGAGAAGCAGACGGTGAGATCGGCGCCCACATGCCTCCGATCAGAAATCGAGTGTCAGGTATTGACAGACAATGGACATACCCAGACGTGCTTCAAGCTGCTTCACGTAACCCCGCTTGGGACCGCTTTTCTTGCGCACTTCATCAAATATGCATTCATGACCCAACCGAGAGCATCTCCCGCAACTGGGTTTGTTTCCATCGCATCTTAACTTCCTCCTTCGGCAAAGTACGCATGCGATACGCTTGGGGCGGGGAATATAATCGCTGCTTGTATTGTGATGCTCTATGGCGATTGATGCTGCCTCTTCATATGCTGCATTAAGCTGTGGTTGGGATGGAGAAGCTTGAGTCTGCTGTGTTAGACGATTGGCATTATCGGCCATGGCCGGGCGCGCGATGCGGGTGGGGAGCTAATGTGTGTCGAGAATGGCCTGTAAGGTGGGCACAGCTTTTCCGAGCCAGGTGGGCTGTGCCTCGATCATGGATACTTGGAGGCATCGAACACGCGAAAAAGACCGGCATGCATTAACAGAACGCAGAAGAAGCTAGAAAGCCGTTAGGCTATAGGGAAAGATGGTAGGTGCACGATCGAGCTTATGTCAGTCAGGCCGAGGACGGTACAGGACTCGAACGGAACCAAGGATCCTACTTTGTTAGTCAGAGTTCATGCTAATGAAGCGTGGATCGGGACCATTAGAGAGCGAAGCTTACAGCGGTTTTCCCGCGGACGTGAAGGCGAGTTTGAATGTAGTGTTTTAGTTGAGCGCGATGATATTACTCCACCGGCTTCGGCTTGATTCTCTCGGTCTCAGCCTGTTCTAGACCCGCTGCTCGTTCACCCCAATGAGGCTTCGCGTCCGCCCTATGCCATGCCAGGACTGATTGCTGTCCACTCCACCGGATACATAACTTTCATGAGTGAAGGAGTTGTTCAAAGCATATATGTGCACTGTGTAATAGGATTGATTGTACTCTAACCCATGTAGTATACAAGAAAAACGCCGGAGCATAAACAACACATGAAGGAGACCCGGATAAAAAGCAAAGGAGCTGGAGTATAGACAGCTGGAATCCCCCATGGTAGCCAAGACAAAATAAAGTATAGTACAACAAGGTGAACAGGAAATGACTTCCCACCATCTAAACCCACAAGAAGGACCTTCGACAGATGGGGAGATTCCGAAGATGCATGCTCTGCTTTACCCAGCTTTTACCCCGAGCGGTGATAGAATCACATTTGATATAACCGTGAAATAGCTATAAGAAGGTCCAAGGAATAAAGTAAAATTTCATGTTCACGACGGCGTCTAGTGGTATCCACGACGACGCTTGCCTTGGTTGCGCTCTCTGGGATGAACCACAGCCTTGTTGATCTTCCACTTGGGACGAGTCTTGTAACCGGATTTCGCCTGTAAAAACGAAGACATTAGCATGGATGAGGCCTGGAAGCAAAGGAAGGAATAGCGAGGCGAGGATACATACCGGCATACCCCAAGGACTCTTCGGGTCAACGTTACCCTTCGACTTGCCTCGACCACCACCGTGAGGATGTTCGGCGGCGTTCATGGCAAGACCACGAACGGTAGGCCGAATGTTGAGCCAACGAGAGCGACCAGCCTTACCAAGCTGGCGGTACTGGTGGTTAGGGTTGCTAGCGACGCCAACAGTCGCGCAGCAGTCCTTATGAATGAGACGAACTTCACCACTCTGAAGACGGATGGTGACATGTTGAGAGATGCGCTCCTTTCTTTGCCTCTCGCGTTGCGTGAGAGGCTTCTGCTCAACAGCTCCCGCTTCTCCTTCTTGGCCGTCAGAATGATCACGCTTCGCCTTGATATCGATACCCTTGGCAATGACTGTCGCAAAAGTACCAGCACTACGGCAGAGCTGGCCTCCCTGACCAGGACGTAAACCGACGTTGAAGACCAGAGTACCGACAGGCATCATGTGCAGCGGCAAGCAGTTTCCTCTCCATGCGGTTCTGGCAGCGAGAACACCAGGGTCCACAGTACCTCCCATGCTCTTCCAGAGTTCCTCTGGAATACCAGACATGTAACTGTGGACAACGTCACCAGCCCGCATACCCTCCGCAGCCAGGATATAACTCAGTTTCTTGGTCTCCTGGCTACGGACAAGAGCAATGTGAGCACTCCGACCAGGGTCATGTTCGATACGTTCCACCACGTGCGGACCGGGAGCGTCACGCGCAAAATCAACCATTCGTATACGGCGCTTGTGGCCACCACCACGATGCCGGACAGTCACTCTACCAGAGTTGTTACGACCACCCTTGGCTTGACCTCGTTTGGGGAACGTCAGCTTCTGCACCGGGCGTCCTTTCCACAGGTGGTCATTGATCGGTCGGCGCAAATGTCTGATACCGGGGGTTCGTGGAGTATAGGAACGTAGAAGGATACCGGCGTCATCACGAGTGGGTGGAGGGGCGAAGGCGATACTGGGGTCAAACGTCGAACTTGCAGGCTCGTCAGCGGACGGATTCTCTTGCTCGCGGACGACAGTCGAATAGGCCCGGGACGAAACGGCCGAGGACAAGGTTCTAAACGGAAGACGAAGGCCCGTCAGGGCCAACCGAGTTTGAAGCATATTGAGTTTGAATGGCTGTGGCGGAGGTAGGAAGTTGGAAGGATTTCGATGTCAATCGGTCGTGATCGGAGATGTCAAAGCAATACCGCAATGTCGTACCGTGAATGGTGTGAGGAATACCAAGCAAGCTACTGCTTGAGCATGCTTGAAATTAAAGACAAAAAACAGGCAATGCAAGAATCCAGCGTCCCTGACACCACTATCAGCAACACCTTGCTCAATTGGAGTGTTGTTGGGGCACCGGTGACAATAGCCGCACTTCTACTCGATCTCCGAAGCAAAAATGTCTGGCATGGCTTGGGAGGTGTGGCTTGATGCCAGGGCACATGACTTGAAATGCACCGCCACTTCCGGGACTGACTAAGTGTGGCACAGTTCTCGAGTCACGGGACGGCGCGACACGGCAACACGTCCGAAGGGGACGCAAAAGCGTAAAAGCTCCGGGTCGGTTGCCGCGCAACCAACTATTGTTTTGGCGATCGTGGCCGCGCTCCATCACGTTTTTGCTCGCGACGGGCGTTTTGAGAGTCGAGGGTGTCTTCCTGCCTGGGTCAGCTCAGGCATCGACCATGGATGAGGATCCGCCTTGTTTCCCTTAGGGAGTACTCCCGTAAACCGTGACTGTATGATTACCACCCTGCCTGCCACCTTTTTCACCACCAATTCCGCCCTTTTTACAGCGACTTCTGCCAGGAAAGTCACGTCCGTCATACATACGCATACAGATACATACATGCGATCGATCCATACAGAACCATAGACTTGCTTCCTTTAATTGCCTTCTTTCCCCCCCCTTCGTTGCCGCCTCTTCCCGTCTGTCACTCTTCCTTTCCCTCCACTTCTCTCCTACCTACTACTATCTCTCAATTGGACTTCACCGTACATACCATAATACCTGGGGACCGTGACTATTGTCTCCAGGCTTGCATATACACGACGTTGTACAACAGTTAATAATCCGCAATCCACGCGATCCAACTGGATTGTGCTGTGGGGCATCTTTCCCAGCCTGGCCAGTTTCCACGCTAAGACTAGGGCCAAACATCCTCTTTGCCCTGTCAAGTTTACCACCTTTTCCTACTCCTCTCCATCATCATCTACTCCAGGGAGGCGACCACCACCCCTTATAGGACCCAATTTTCTTGCCGGATTCTCGTGTCATTACTTCTAAGCAACTTTTCTACCTTGCTATATCACCATAAAAACATACCTTGGGGTCGTCAACGCCGTGGAAAGTTACGTGTCTTGGGTCTTGCGAGCTCCTGTCAATAGCATCAACAAAGCCATATATGCCACGATTCTGAGCCCACTCCTGCCAAATTCCTTCCAAGTACCCGACCGTTCGACTTGAGGAACCTTGCATTCAAACTAATAGATTGGGGTTGGACACATATTCACGCGTGGTACGTGCAAATCTACCTTCCGGCAACCGGTATTTGAGCTCCACTGGGGTAATCTCTCCTGGAATGCTGACTAGACTTTCCAACTGCCTGCAGAACCATACTCTTGCACTCTACTCTTATTCCCTTCCTTGCCCCTCCTTGTATTCATTCTACTTTCCCCCCCTATCCATCATGCCACCTGTAAGTCTCCTTGGCCTCTCACTACGCGTTGTGCAATCCTCGGTCGCGAGCCTGATGGGCTTGGAGATCCAGTTTGCACGCGTATATCTCTAACTGTTCAACAGGCTCGGAGTCTTCGTACGAGAGGCACGATGAACGAGAACGACGAGAATGGCCCATCGACGCGTCTGACGCGGGCCAAGGCCGCTGCCCTGTCAGTCAATGACGCTGGGGCTCCCCCCGCCAAGAAGCCGCTCCAGACGAAGAAGGCTGCGACCGCTACTACCACCACCGGAACCCGTAGACGCGCCGCCCTTGGTGATGTGAGCAATGTTACCAAAGCAGAGAATGGAGAGACCAAGGAGGCCAAGAAGCCAGCTGCTACGAAGGTTGGCCTGACGTCGAAAGCAACATTGCAGGCTGGTGGAGTTCAGAAACTTACTCGCAACAACTCGTCACGCGCTGCCCTGGGACCCAAGGACAGCAACCCCAAGAAGCCTACCACAGAAACAAAGCGCCCCGGAAGTGGATCGGGCACCAAGCGGACATCCAGCGAAAAGGCCATCCAAGAGAAGGCAGCTGAGGAGGAACCACGCCCCCGAAAGAAGGTCGAAGTCGAGAAGAAGGTCACCGAACAGAAGACTGTCGCCGAAAAGATCACCAACGCGAAGGAGGATGTCAACGTTCCGGTCGATCCGAAGGTTTTGCAAAAGCCTGTCGATGATTTTGTCGACGACCTTGACGCCGAAGATCTTGACGATCCTTTGATGGTTGCTGAATACGTCGTCGATATCTTCGAATACCTCAAGGACCTTGAGCTAGAGACCTTGCCCAACGCCGAGTACATCGAACACCAACCTGATCTGGAGTGGAAGATGCGCGGCATCCTTGTCGACTGGCTCATCGAGGTCCATACCCGCTTCCGCCTCCTCCCCGAGACCCTTTTCCTTGCTGTCAACATCATTGACCGCTTCCTCTCTGCTGAGGTGGTGGCTCTGGACCGTCTTCAATTGGTTGGTGTCGCCGCTATGTTCATCGCCTCCAAATATGAGGAAGTCCTTTCGCCACACGTTGCCAACTTCACCGACGTCGCAGACGGAACTTTCACAGATCGTGAGATCTTGGATGCTGAACGGCACATCCTCGCTACCCTGGAGTACAACATGAGCTACCCCAACCCCATGAACTTCCTCCGTCGAATTTCGAAAGCAGACAACTATGATATCCAAACCCGTACTCTTGGCAAGTACCTCATGGAAATCAGCCTTCTGGACCACAGGTTCATGGGCTACCGCCAGAGTCATGTGGCCGCTGCTGCCATGTATCTGGCTCGACTCATCCTTGACCGGGGTGTCTGGGTATGTTCCTTGCACACATATCTCGAGCATCTTGTGCTAATAGACGACTTAGGATGCCACCTTGGCTCATTATGCCGGTTATACTGAAGAAGAGATCGATCCGGTCTTCCGCCTAATGATTGATTATCTCCACCGCCCTGTCTCTCATGAGGCGTTCTTCAAGAAGTACGCCAGCAAGAAGTTCTTGAAGGGTATGTTGCCTCTATCTAGTATTGACACTGGACCACCAACCGCTAACCTGACTAGCATCCATCCTTACCCGGCAATGGGCGAAGAAATACCACCACTTGTATATCAACAGCTCACTATCTGAGCCCTACTCTTATATGAAAGACCATGAATAAATAACCCAGGGCCTCTGGTGACTTAATATCGGCGTCAGGCAGCACGACCGAGGATAGGAGTTTGTTGATTCCATATGATGGTATTTCATTCGTGATGGTATTAGGCACCTCTTGCATATGTTTATGAACGGCATCTTGTTGTTTTCGGTTGCGGACGTTTGCATCTTCGCTTCTTCCAGGGGTGTCTGGCGCACATCTGGTTTTGTTTTCTCTGCTGTTCTTCGATTCTCTTCATTTCTGGTAGTATCTGGGTTGTTTCGCACTTGCTTTGATACCTTACATAACCTTCTCCCGTCTTACCCTGTGTGACTTCCAGGCGTCGGACATTTCAAGGACGGAAATTTATTCGCTTCTTCTTATTTTTGGATCAAAGTTCTTGTTCATCGGCGTCGGGTACTCTTCGGACTTATTACACAGCTCCCGCAAGACCGTGACGATATATCTACCACCGCATTATCTTGGTCAAGGCGTGCGGAATGAACCAATCCATACAGCTACGACAATACGCATCGGGGCATAGACCCAAGGTGGAGAGAAGGGTGAAAAGGGCTTATTTTTGGTATTAGTGTCTTTCATGTTGAGTTAGCGGGGTTTATCACGGATAGAGTGGGAAGGATAGCGGTAATGTGCGTTAAAAATGGTTAGTTAGCCTTGAACTACCAGGAAGTTTGTATACCAGCCCTTGATGCTACTTGCACATCACATAGATGTCAGCCTTCTATGTAAGTAGGTGTGGTTGATACGGCAAGTTTCCAAACTGCTAGTGACCATGGAGCTGGGAACCGAGGCACCGAGGATCACAAGCAGCTAGCCGTCTCATCCATCAACCAAGTCTCCTTATCTATCTGCACAGCAACCAAAGCCTTGAATTCCGACTCAAAATACCCCCGGCGACGATCAAATTCTCTTCCCTCCTAGCTATAAAGCACGGACGCATATTTAGTCCCCGTTGCTCCTAGGAACGGACCCAGTCACTTCACGACTAACCACCAATCCCAACCCTCACTTTCCAACCCCAGTCACTTACCCCAGATATCCATCCATCTTACCCAGCAACCCTTGGAAATGACCTCAGATCATCACCAATCATGCCCCTTCTGCGCCATCGCTCACAAATACCCGCCCCTCCCACCAACGACATTCTTCCGCCCGAAGAATTCCAGCCACGATGATCATCTAAATTTAGCGGCTGCGGCGGCGCCCACTACTGACATTCCTTCCCCGGAATCATTCGCCGAGCTGAGCAATCCAGGCTCTGGCGATGCACACCTCATCTTGTCCACTAGACATGTTCTTGCGTTTTTGGATATTATGCCTTTGACGAAGGGACATGTTTTGGTTGCGACGAGGGAGCATTGTGAGAGGTTGGGGGATGTAAGGGTCGGTGTGGGGAGGGAGGTACGTTGTCAACAGTTTTTAGCTTTAGTTTAAGTTGTTCTGGGCTTGTGTCTTACTTTGCTTAATTGGAATTGAATTGAGTTGCTATGTTGTGTGTCAGTTATAATTTGGGTTTGTCGGATTATGGCAGGCAGTGTCTTGGTGAAATACTCTGAGTACTGATTGACGGATGGAAATCCCAGATCGGCCAATGGCTCCCCATCATCTCGCGAGTTGTGATGCGAACGCTTTTCGGAGAGGAAGAGCAAGGGGACTTTGACTCGTTGTGGAATTGGAATGTGGTGCAGAATAATGGTGAGTTTTCGGTTGCTAAGCACTTACTACCATTTATCTATCTATCTCTGTCTATCTACACATGCTATGCTTGTGTAACCTCGACGGGCGGCGGTTTAGTTTGTTGATCTTATAGCTTGTGGAATTCACATATCCGCATGCCTATTGCCGATGTTTGAGATGAGGCGTTTGAATCATTTACTTGATTCGGTATTTGGTTGCTAATGGATCGGAATTGAATAGGCGCCAGGGCGGCGCAGCAGGTCCCTCATGTTCACTTTCATGTTATTCCGAGGCCGCCTGATCGGCCGGCGGAAAGGAAGGGAAAGGCTCATTTGAGTTACGTGATGTTTGGGCGTGGGCAGAGGGAGGATCTAGATGATGAGGAGGGGGAGAGTCTGGCTAGGCTGTTGAGGGAGGAGTTGGCGAGGGAAGTTCAGAGGGTTAAGAGGGAGGAGGGTGTGGATTTGGAAGGGGAGTTTGGGGGATTTG